CAACATAGCAACTTATTATCTTTTTTGCTGCATTCCATCAAAATATAAAATATACACGCTTGTAGATTTAAAACAAAAGATTTTAGATAAAATAACTTTGGCTGGATTTTTTAGAAAATTGAAATTGGAAAAATGGTTAATATTAGATAAAGGAAATGAAATGGATAGATATATTAATGATAATATTCATGGTGAAACGTTTAAAGCATATATTGCTGCAATATATTTAGACTGTAGTTGCGATTTTGATAAAGTTATGGAATATTTGAAACCATTCTTAATACCATTCATCAATCAATGGGCCGAAGTTTTAAAAGATACTGAAGACCATAACGAGACTCCTCCAGAACTAGAACATATAATGAAACTCGATTTACATATATTAAAAAAAGGACTTAGTGAACCCATATATAAATGGAAAAACAGTGATAACAGTGATAATGCAATGTTTATTTATGAAGTTCTAGTTAATGGAAAGATTTATGGAACCGGTGAGGGCAAAAAGAAAAATGAAGCTAAGAAGCATGCAGCAATTCAAGCCTACGACAATATCAATTTAGACAACTCCATTACGAAATTAATCGACATTAACGCTAAGTCAGGCAATGTTAAATCTGATAATGTTAAATCTGATAATGTTAAGTCTGACAATGTCAAGTTAGATAATGTCAAGTTAGATAATGTCAAGTTAGATAATGTCAAGTCTGACAGTGTCAAGTCTGACAGTGTCAAGTCTGATAGTGTCAAGTCTGATAGCGTTAAATCTGACAGTGTTAAATCTGACAGTGTTAAATCTGACAGTGTTAAATCTGACAGTGTTAAACAAGACAGTGATAAGTCTGACAGTACTAAATAGGATAGGTATTAAATCATAGCAATAGCGATAGTAGCTATGATATATATATTTTTTTTAAACTATATAATTACCTGAAATTAAATAATAAGTTACATATATTACCAAATAAAAAAATTTGGGATCTTTGCGGGTCAAAGTGGGGGCTGCTTGTTTTGAGCATAATCTTATTATATAGTTAAATATAAGGCTCCCTCCCAATTTTCTTTTTTCAAAATCTGGGATTGCTTTTATTTAGTATATAAAATATTAACAATTTTTCTTTTATTTCCATGTAAAATTATCTCAAGCTACATACATATATATATAATAAAGAGTTTGGGTAATTGTGAAAAATATTTAACAAATTTCATTTTAAATGACTGTAATTTAGCTTAAAATAACAGGAACTACAGAACTAGAAACTGTTTATTTATTGTTACATTTCCGGTCTTACATCTTCGACAGGGTTATTGTATAAAAACTAGAAAATGACATACTTTATAGGTTTGTGCCTTGACTTATTATGTGTTATATTTAGAATTATGCATTAAATTAAATTATGTTTTAACTGATAAAGAATACCCGTTTTTACATATAACAACTATTAGTAAATTTAAATACAGTATACGTATATCGATATAATCGATGTAATGAATTTTAAAAAAATTTTGTATTCATAGTCTGATAATTTCATTATGAAGATTATACTATAACTATATTATTAATAAATAAGATTAATTTTTAAAACTGACGATTTTAATCTCACCAGAGATGGGCTTTAATAACCAATATTTAGTACATTAAACTCTACCTTTTACTTTAAGCCTTAAACCTAACCACAAAGTTTAATTTAATTTAAAATTCGAGGTAAAATTTTCTATAGATATATAATACTAAAATCTTAAACGATGCTTAACTAAATTTATTTTTATTATATAAGTTAATCAAGCTTATAAAAATTTACAATTATTCAAAAACTTGGCCAAATTTGTTTCAATTTATATATTTCGTATAAATTAAGATTATAAATAAATTATGAAATAAATATTGTTAAGGTATAAATTTAAGATTAAAAAATGAATCAAGGTTAAAAAATGGATCGAGATTAAAAAATGTATCAAGATTAAAAAAAATGGATCGAGATTAAAAAATGTATTGAAAAATTCTTCGAATATCAATGATCAGTCACCGATTACGTCCCTGCCCTTTGTACATACCGCCCGTCGCTACTATCGATTGAATGGCTTAGTGAGACCCTCGGATCGA